AATAAATCATAGTTTCATACGGAACATAATTTATAGTTTCACAAATATAATTTGATACGGAATAGATTATAATTTCATACGATCATAAAATGTAGTTTCATAATCAACTTTCGAAGGTATCAAACCACATAACGTACCTTAATTCCGAATATCAATCAACACTTCGCACTTTCAAAGTTCAATCACGAATACACCTTGCAATTAACATAACCATACGGTTATCACAACATCTTTAGACATAAACCCAAATCTAATGTGCATGGACTATAAAACACTTTTAAAAATAATACTTTAATATAAAATTATAACTGTAAAATAGGTAATTATATTTTAGAAAACTAACCATGAAGAAAATAAAGGAATAGGATTAAAGGAAATTGAATTTGCGTTGGAAAGGATAGGCAGAACTTGCAGAGGACATAACTCCTTTGATATAACTCCGGATTGGGTGATTCTTGAGCCTAACCTCAAGGATTTTTCGAGAGAAATAATTTTTTGTGAAATAGAAAAATCCAAAAACTGACCAGAAGTGCCCGAAAATTGGCTCTAAAGATATACGGGCAGATTTTCTTTTAGAAAAGAGGAAAAGAAAAATAGGAAAAGTTTGAGAGAAAAGAAGAGTAAAAGAAAAGAAGGGAATTGAGTTTTTGGGTGTGAAGAATATGAGAGGTATGAGGGGGTATTTATAGGTGTTTAGGTGATGAGTTTATAGCAATTTAGGGTTTATAATTTATGGAAGTTTTGAAGAATAGAAATTAGGGTTTTAAATATATAGAAGGCTATTTTATTTGATCATGAAATTCTATTTGGTAGGTTTTAAGTTTGGAGTGCAAGTATGACATAGAATCAAATAATTTTAGATTTAAGAATAGAAGTAAGGGAATTTAAAGGATTTTATTTTTAATAAAAATAATTTGAAAATCTTATAGAAAAAAATCATGAGTGGCCGAAAATATTGAGCTAAATATTGCTCAATATTTTCGGACCTCTTATGTTAGTTTGGGGATTTTGTAAAATAATTTATTTTACTAAAATTAAAGATTCAATAAGTTTATAAATATTTGGAAGAATAAAATCAATTTTCTTACTAAATAATCAGGGTAGCCAAAAATTTGGTCTATAATAATTAATAAAATCAGATTTTTATTATATAAAATCTAAAATACTATTTGATTAATTTAGGAAATCATTTTATTTCATAAAAATAATTAACTTAGCAAATAATTAAGAAAAATCGGATTTTTAATGTATAAAATCAGAAAATAATACTTCATTAGTGTAGGAATTAATTTTATTTTATGAAGATACTTTACTTAGAGTAAAAATCAGATTTTTAATTGTAAATTCAAAAATGATATTTATTTAGTTTTAGGAAATTAATTTTATTTCATGAAAATAATTAGTTTAGCAAGATATTAAGTAAAATTGGATTTTATTGGAAAAATCCGAAAATTCTATTTACAAAAATCAGATTTTTAAATCCAAAAATACCTCTAATTTTATTAATTAATATAGTTTTGGTTTATTATTTATTAAATCAAAATACTATTTATAAAATGTTTAGTTTATCCATTTAATTAAAATAATTGATTTAGGCGCCAAAATTCAAATATCATTTTGGCTCCAAAACTGAAATACTCTTAAGTTAGAAAATACGTCGAAAATACGAGACTAAATACTCTTTAATTTAGAAAATACCTTTCAAAAAATATGGGGTATTACATCATCTATCTCACTTCTCTTTTATTTCTTATTGCTTATTGATTATGTCTTGTCTATTGAATCTTGTTATTGGTTTTGTTAGTATGTGTGAGTAGGTTCTTAATCCGAGATCTTGCAAAGCCCGAATATGATTGATATATGAATTGAATCTTTAATTCCTCCAATAATAATCCCAATTGACATGCTTAATCAATTGTGTTTATGCCAATACTAGATTAGGAATAATTAGTATTGTTATCATCCCTTTGTTCTTATTGCAACGGAAGTTGGGTATTAACGGGATTTGGGTATTTCAATTAAGGGTTTTAATATCATCACGGAAGTAGATGATTGAATGATTAGGAAGTTAAGTATTGTGTTTAATGTCCCTTGTTTGCTTGATTCCATGGAAATAGGCTTGATAGTTGATTTGGGAAGCCATTGATAACTCGGAAGAGACCTTTGGTATTGTTTAGGGAATGCTTTTCCTCTTGTCAATTGATTTGTTATTGGGGGTAGATTTATTAATGCATTGATTATATTCGTGGTAATGCTTGATCTTGGATGCTTTAGTTAATTGATTTATCACTTACCTTAGATTAATTGTGTTATTTATTTATTAGTTCTTAGTGTTCATCATCATTGATTGGTTACTTGCTTAGTGATTCTTGAGTCTAATTAATTAGGTGAACCTTAGTCTCTTGGGATTCGATTCTTACTTGCCCGTGTATATAGTAGTGGTCTTGTTTGGTTTATTTTTGTTAGGTACGCGACACGCCTATCAAATTTTGGCGCCGTTGCCGGGGACTAACGGTTTTCATCTAGTTATTTGTGATTCATCTTTACTAAGCTTTTGATTTGTTGCTTCGGCTATTGTCCCTTGTATTTTTTATCTCCTCTTTTTAGTTCTTTGTTGCATGCAAACTCGACGTTTAGGTTTAGACATCTTAACACCTTTTGACTCTGAAATCGAAGCTACTGCAAGGAGACGAAGAGGTAGAAGAAGGAGATATCAAAATACAAGTAAAATGACCGAAAGAATCAAATCTTTATTGGAGTACGACATTCCTGATACCGCAACCGGGCTCCTATCTAGCATTGTCAGACCACCTATTACCGCTCAGAGCTTTGAATTAAAACCTCAATTCATACAGTACATCTCAAATGACTCATTTGCAGGCACACCTCATGAATGCCCTGTTAGTCACATAGACAGTTTCTTGGAGAAGTGTGACACCATAAAGCTCAACGGTGTTACCGATGATGCTATCAGACTTCGTTTGTTCCCTTTTTCACTACAGGATAGAGCGAAGGAATGGTTACGAGACGAAGGTATAGGTTCCTTTGACACATGGGATAAGCTTGCCAAAGCTTTCTTAGTAAGATTTTTAGGGCAAGAGAAGACTGCAAGGTTAAGGAACGAGCTAGCTACCTTTCGTCAATCTGATGATGAGTCTTTATATGAGGCATGGAGAAGATTCAAGCGCTTACAAAGACAATGCCCTCATCACGGTATCCAGTGGCGTCTCCAGGATTTTCGAAGTGTGGGTTCGAAACTTCGAAATTTGAAATCGTAATTAACAAAGGAATAAAAATATAATAATTAAATATTCAGTACATAAATAAGTTCAAACTATGGATTACGAATAGATTACACATAGGAAAATGAAAAAGAAAAAAGACTATAGAAGCATTACAATATCAATATGACAATATCAAATTATCAATGAAATAGAATATCAGAAATAATCAAATAATAAATCAGTATAAATTAAATAGAAATTATACTATTATACGGCATTACGGCTCAAATACTCAAATATACGGTCACAACTCACAAGCAGTCAAGCAAAACTTCAATTTCTGGAGGATTTTTCCCCAAATCGGCTAATCAAAACCACTGCTCAGTTTTTAGTCAGCTAACCATATTTAAAAAATTATTTGGGACTAATAAATTATGAAGACTAATTAAAACTATCGTAATTAAATATTTACAGTCAATTAGTAAACATATTATAACATATGAAATCCAGAAGGCAGAAAACGAAATAGCATATAAAATTCAACAATGTAACAAAAAAAATCCCCAAATTGAGAACTTGAGAAGTAAATTAGCAAATTATAACCAATCTTCAGCAATTTACAAAAAATCCCCAATTCGTAATGTATATTAGCATATGAATTTAAAGCATTCAACGATTTAGCAAAAAAAAAAATCCCCAAATTGAGAAGTAAATTACATTAGCCAAAAAAAATCCCCAAATTCACTTACCTAGACGGCTGTGAGCTGTGGGTCTGCTCCGCTGCGGGGATGCGAGGTTGCGGCCGTGCTCTGCTGGCTGCTGCGCCGGCGCGCCGCTGCGGACAGTCAGAACTCTGGAAGACGGGAAGAGAAGGAGGAAGAACGAGAAGAGAAGGAAAACAGGAAACAAAATTTTTAAAAAAAAGTGTGAGTTATGGGTTTTGAACCCACAAACTCTTGTGTGATGGGAGGTATAAATAACCACTGGGCTACAGCTTTACTTGTTGCTATATATTACACAAATATTCTATTTAAAACTATTTCGATTTTTTTTTTTTGTTTAATTTTTTTTTTTTTTTTTCAAAAATCAGTGGGTTCAATGAACCCACTTGAACCCACATTGGCTCCGCCCATGACGGTATCCCAGAGTGGATGTTGATCCAAACATTCTACAATGGTCTGACCCATGAGTTCCGCATATACATTGATGCTGCATCCGGGGGTTCTCTCATGACTAAGAACCCAACTGAAGCCAAAGAGCTCATTGAGAAGATGGCAGCCAATGATAATTATCATCCAGGGGGGCAGAAATATTGTGAAGACTAGAGGAAAATTTGATGTTGATGCTTTAACTCTCTTTACAAGTTCTGTACAAGCATTAACAAGCAAGTTTGATAAACTCCAAGCTGGATCCTCTCCCACTTCATTCGAAACATGTCAATTATGTGGTATTCAAGGCCACATTGCATCACAATGTCAACCTCCCTTTGACGAAATGTCAATCGAGCAAGCAAATTCCTTCTATACTACGATACCTAAAAGGCCGTATGATCCTCATTCAAACACATACAATGAAGGGTGGAGAAATCATTCGGACTTCTCTTATAAGAACACTCAAGCTCAATTGAATTCTCCGTCACCACCACCTAGTTTTCAAGCAAGGGCATCTTTTAATCACCAACCCATGAATCAACAACTACCACTGCAAACTTCAAAATACAATCTTGATTCCGTTATAGAGACTTTCACTACTTCCCAACTTCGATAGCAAGAGCTTATGACAAAGCAATTTGAGCTACAAGCAAAGCAAAATGAACACTTTGAAAGCTCGATTCAAATGCTTATTGCTCAAAATAAGAGGATAGAAACTCACCTTTCTCAACTTTCACAACAAGTGAGTCATTTATCAACTCTTCATGATCAAGCAAAAGTCCAAAAGGAACAATGCAATGCAGTTTTCTTGAGAAGAGATGAATTATTTTCGAGGAAAATAGATGAGAAAGTGTGCAGTGTGGAGTCAAGAAAAGATGAAAAGTGTGAGGATGTAAAAAGTCCCAAATATGTTGCTCCACCGGCCTATGAGGAACCGATGCTCTTCCCGCAAAGGTTGTCAAAAGTCGTGCTCGATAAACATTTTGGGAAATATTGCGAGACTCTTAAAAAGGTATATGCTTCCATTCCTTTTTCTGATCTTTTAATTCAAATGCCTCAATTTGCAAAATTTGTGAAGGAAATTAAAGATCAACATGATGATAAGGAAGTAGTAAATGAGAAATGTTCTACTCTTATACGTGATAGCCTACCACCTAAGCTGCATGATCCTGGTAGTTTTACTATTCCCTATATGGTAAACGAAATATTTTTTGACAGGGTTTTGTGTGATTTAGGTGCTAGTGTTAATTTAATTCCTTATTCATTATATGAAAAATTAGGTTTGCAAAAACTTAAACCTTCCCCTATTTCTCTTCAAATGGCTGATAGGACTGCTAAACTCCCTAAGGGTGTGGTTGAAGATGTATTAGTTAAGATTGGTAAACTTGTTTTTCCTGTTGATTTTGTTGTTATGGATATGAAAGAAGACCATAAGATCCCGATTATATTTGGTCGCCCATTCCTTGCCACAAGTCAAGCTCTAATAGTTGTTCCTAAAAGACAAGTGACCATTAGGGCCCAGGATAAACAAGTAGTGTTTAAGCTCTTTAATGAACATAATTTTATATTTGATGGTGGCACTTTTTTAAGAATTGATACTACTAACCCTTTGGTTGATAAGTGTGTATTTGATAGAAATCTTGTGCGAAATGAGGACAATATTCCACCAAATGATGTGTTTAGGTACGTCAAGGTAAGTTCGGATACAAAGCATGTCAATTATAAAATGAAGGAGTCATTTGGAGGCAGATATTTTCATGGGCAACATCGCGGAGTTTCTTCTTTGTGTGGTGACCCAGGTTGAGCTAATAAAGAAGGTCAAGCTTAAGACCTTGATAAACTAGCGCTTTGCGGGAGGCAACCCGTATTTTATTGTTTTTATTTTAGTCTTTTCTATTTTTTGTGTGATTTCGTTTTTCTTTGGTTCTTAGATAGGTAAGGAGAATGTAACTTATGCTTGTGGGAGTTTGTTTTTGTGCAGATTTTGAGCTAAAGAAGAATTGAATTCGCTGAAACTTTCAATCTTCTTCGCGCCCGATCGGGCATCCCATGCCCGGTCTAACCGGGCGGTGAAGAAAACAGATGTCGACTTTCGCAACTTCTGAATTGAGCTCTCGCGCCCGATCGGGCATCTCGTGCCCTGTCTGACCGGGCAGTGGGAGGTAACGTTTGAGCTGAAGTGTTTCTTGGGGGGAACACTGCTCAAGTTCGACAGGCCATAACTTTCACGTTACTTACTGGATTTTGCGTGTGACCTATTGTTGGAAAGATCTTCAACTCTACTTTCCAACCCAATTGGAATCACTACATTATCATTATACATCAAAAGTTATGATCAGAATAGTGCACATGACGTAATTTTTATCTTTTTCCCACTAACACTTTGTTTCATTCTTGCCCAAATTTGTTCCAAAGAGATGCATTGCAATCCTCGAGGCTTTGGTGACATTGATGTGGTGATGATGATGAGTAGTAGTCACCTTGACTACAAGCTTCCCTTTAGGACAATGAGGACATTGTCTGATTTTGGCTTGGGGGAGATTTTTGGATTGAGGTATCTTTCTTTTCTCACTCTTTTTGTTTTTCATGTGTTTAGTTTAGTTTTATTGCTTTCATAGTATAGATTTTATTGCTTTTTAGGTTAGATTTAATGCTTTCAAAAATATAAATAAATACAAAAATACGATCCAATGAATAATAAATCATGCTTCCCTGTGCCCCATACATGAAAATTGTTTTGATTCTTGGTATATAATGATGAGTATTGTGGATAGGTTAGCCATGATTTGATGTTTGATTGCTTGGATGCCCTAAAATGAGTCAATTTTGTCCAACTACTTGTGAATATAGTGCTTGATTAGTTGATTTGGTTAGGAATGTGTGTTAGTTCCTGGTATGTCAATGAAGTTGAGTATTAGTTTGCAACTTTGAGTAATGTTTGTATGACTCATTACTATGCACAATGAGGAGGACGAAGGCGTTTATTCTTTTAGTTAGCCTTTAGATGATACTAGATACATTTGTTCCCTTTTTGCTACCCATGTTGTAGCCTTGACCTTTTTATTGTTTATTTAGCCACATTACAAGCCTATTTAAGCCCCATTGGTTACTAGTCCCAAGTTTGGCTTGGGGGAGCTAATAGTTAGTGAGGTGAGGGAGTTGTAGTGTGCACATAATCTGCACAATTTGGGTGGATTTGAGAAGTTATTTATTTGTTCTTATTTTGTGAGTTGGAAAAAAATAGAAAAATTGTTGTTCAAAGTTGAAAAAAATTCCAATGTGAGATAAAAGAGAAAAAAAGAGCAAAAGAAAAAATTTGTTTCAATGTTCAAGTGTTCTAGTTGAAGGCTGCTAAAAAAAAATGAGAAAGAAAAATTCAAGTTAAAGGTTTGTTTGTTCACCCAAGTTCTATAATGTTATAATTTGTATGAGTGAAGTCTTAAGTGTTAGAAAATTTGTATAATATTGAATTGGTTGTTTGGTAAATTTTTGTAGTGTTGAGTTGTGTTGGAGATGATTGGTCATTATTTATTTTTGACCTTGGTTTTATTAGGATTTGGCTCCCTTAAGCATGGCTTTACTCTACATTTTCCCAGATGTTTCTTACCCTTTACCCTAACCTTATGTTACAAGCTTTAAAGACCTTCCGACTTTTGTGCATAGAGTTGTATGGATGTGAAAGTAGCCGTCTATCAATACGAAGAATGATCTGATATATTTCGAGTCGACTATTAGGTTGAGTGTATGTCTTTTAAACACACGAGTGCGTGAGTTGGGAGGGCATTGTTCACATATAAAGGGGTGGTTGGAGAGCAATCGAGTACACTTTTTACTCACCACATAAATGAGAGTTGAGTGTGTGAGAACTAGTCTTGGATTCTATATGTTCTTGTGGTTTGCTCTATTTGACAATTGTTAGGGAAGATTGGTAGTTGGGTGGATTTGATTGACTGACTTTGATACATATTTGTCGAATTTACCTTGAATCGTATTTATTGATTTGAATTGCTTTTGGGGTGAAGTATTGATTAATTTATCATTGCTTTGCTTAGGGACAAGCAAAGGTTTAGCTTGGGAGAATTTGATGTATGCATTTTATACCATGTTTTACCCCGGTTTTGTAGCGTATATTTGCATGGTTTTGGGTTCTACGGAGCCATTTCTCGGTAACAATCTCTTCTCTAGTGTGTTCGATCTATTTTATTGAGTTTCACCGGAATACGAAGTTTCTTGGATGAATCGGACTTGTTTTTAGATGGTTATAGAGAGGTTGTTGAGTGAAAGATGAAGAGTTCCTCAATGCCCTGTTGGGCATAGCTTGCCCGGGCAGACCGGGCAGAAGAAGAGAAGAAGAACAACGCAAGAGAAGAAGCCGTACTTTTTCCACCCGATCGGGCACCCCTTGCCCGGTCAGACCGGGCACCGTTGTGCGAAAATCGTTTTAGTTAATTTCAAAATTCTATATTTTTAAGGGTATAAATACCCCTTGAATCAAATTTAGAAGGGAGATAATTATATCCTCTAGTATTAGTTTTACCTAAAAACCCTAGTTTACTCTCTCTAAGCCTTTAATTTCTACTCATAGTTTGATTTACTGATCATCAACAATTCGAGTTCTTTCAATTGAAGCAATTGGTATTCATCTATCTCACTTCTCTTTTATTTCTTATTGCTTATTGATTATGTCTTGTCTATTGAATCTTGTTATTGGTTTTGTTAGTATGTGTGAGTAGATTCTTAATCTGGGATCCTGCAAAGCCCAAATATGATTGATATATGAATTGAATCTTTAATTCCTCCAATAATAATACCAATTGACATGCTTAATCGATTGTGTTTATGCCAATACTAGATTAGGAATAACTAGTATTGTTATCATCCCTTTGTTCTTATTGCAACGGAAGTTGGGTATTAATGGGATTTGGGTATTTCAATTAAGGGTTTGAAGATCATCACGGAAGTAGATGATTGAATGATTAGGAAGTTAAGTATTGTGTTTAATATCCCTTGTTTGCTTGATTCCATGGAAATAGGCTTGATAGTTGATTTGGGAAGCCATTGATAACTCGGAAGAGACCTTTGGTATTGTTTAGGGAATGCTTTTCCTCTTGTCAATTGATTTGTTATTGGGGGTAGATTTATTAATGCATTGATTACATTCGTGATAATGCTTGATCTTGGATGCTTTAATTCATTGATTTATCACTTACCTTAGATTAATTGTGTTATTTATTTATTAGTTCTTAGTGTTCATCATCATTGATTGGTTACTTGCTTAGTGATTGCTTGAGTCTAATTAATTAGGTGAACTTGAGCATTGAGCCGGATTGCTACTTTGAAACATAAAGTTAGTAGAAAAAAAAAATTTAAAGGGTAATTTTCTATTGTCTTGGAATTGTTGAGACTATTCCTCTTAATTTATTTTTTCCAAGTTACATTTACTTAAAGATATATATATTTATTTGTGTATATAAAAACAATAAATTACTATTAACTAAGATGGTTAGAAATGTACTCTTATATCCATGATAAATTAAGTATAGATGTTATTCATATAATTAATTAAGTTTTACACTTATCTATAACTTATACTAAAGTAATTACCGCTGACATCATCACTATACACGTGTCAGCTTCTTATCATTAATTTTCCCTCCAAAACTATTTTTGACATCATTCTTTTTTTTAAAACAAAAAAAAAATTCAAGATAAAGCTAATATTTGAAAATGATTGATTGATTGATTTTTCTAAAAGCTTTTATAACTAAATTCACTAAATACACAATTTCTATTCCTATTGAGTAAAAATTATTGAGGATTGATCTCTTTCGCGTTCTTTTTTTTCCTCCTATGCAGTTTTTTTTTTTTTCAAAAAAAAAAAAAAAATCTCCTACATTTTATTAGTGATTGTAGAGTTTGGATTTTCCACTCTTTATTAATTATTCAAATTTTCCATAATGAATAAGAAATGAAAGCTAACATTTTAAAAGATTTATTATACCTATGATGTTAATAAGAATATTTAACATCATCTTCAACTATATATTCTTACTAGGTTAGGTCCCGTGCCATGCACGGTAACTATCAATAACTATTCTTTGATTGACATAATATTTAATTTTTTTAAACAATAATTCTGACTAAGTTATTAATTCGTAAAATAAATTTATTATGAAAGAGTCTATTATTAGTTAAAAAAAAAGATATTTTAAAATACGTATGTATGTATATTTTTATATATTTTACCAACAAATTTATATCATTTTCTTCTTGTAACCAAATGAATATCTTAACAATATATATTCAACCCGTAAATTTAAGTCACAAATTATGTTAAAAATTTGATTTTTTTTTAATCTAAGTTTATGGTATCAATCAATGGGGCTATCCCAGTTTATCAATTAGATAAACGTATTATGTTTATCAAATGATTCAATTGTAAATATTAAGAACAGTGAAATATGCCAACTCATCACTATTATTGAAGCTTCTTCCTCGTGACCCACCATGTCGACGCCGTTTGAAGCTTTTGACTCCATTATTGAATCTTCTTTCGCCATGGAAATGGATCGTTGAAGCTTCCTCCTCGTGACCCACCATCTCCACTACCTTATTTTCGGCGGCTTCGCCACCGAATTAAACGGAAACCCTAAAAGAAATGGAGAAATGAAGGGTATGGTTAACCCCAAAAGGTACGACTTTTCGTCTTCCTCCATTGATGTAGTTCATGAGCTCGATTTGCTGTATTGCATCCACTGATTTCTCCATTGAAGCACTTTGAATCCCCCATTTTCCATTAACTTCATTAACCTCTTATATCCCCAAAATTACAAAGTTACCCTTAAATAAATACAAATATTGACTATTATACCGTTAGATAAACATATTTTGTTTATCATATTAATAAACCTGTATTTCCCCTCAATATATATTGTGGAATGATACATTAAATCTTTCTAATCTTTTATTATGTACTTTGTATAAGATTTGTTTCCTAAATAAATATTTAAAAAAAAAAAAAAAGGGGACACACCATAAAATATCACGTGTCATTTTTTTGGTGTGTTTTTTAGTATATAGTTATTGATTGATTGATTGATATTTGATATTAGATATAAGAAGCCACACCCAAACCTTCCTATATAACAATCATCTTTATAATCCAATTTCTTACCACTCATCCTTTAAATTAGGAATATAAGTCACAAGAAAGAAAACCAATAGATTAGCCGATGAAATATTGATTTTTTTTTTAAACAATAAAATAACGTCATTACTCTTTTCACTAATTAATTTACTACTCCGTAATAAACAACGAATATATCTACATAAATAATATTTCATTAATAAATCAGTTTCATTTAAAACCTATATTCCAAAAAATGGAAAAAAAAAAAACCTAAAGAATTGTCAAAGAAAATGCAATAATAATCCTAATAATCTAACCTAAGTTAACAATTACAACTATGCTCATCTAATTTGTTAATAAATAGGTAATTAGACTAGTAATTAAATTTTCACCTAAGAACTAATAAATTTTCCAACACATTCACACCGTATCTACATTTCATGTACAAATGGATCATTCCAGTAGTATATGAACAAAAAAATTGTTCAGAAATGGTGGAAGATTCTAATACCTTTTCAATCAAGTCCTACTATGTTAAAGATCTTGATTTTCAATAGGTTCGAATGATTTGATGTAAATAGTCTCTTGTATATTTAATGCAAATATCTTATATCTATAAAGGTGATAGATTATTTAACTTTAAAATTAGTGTATGCATGTAACCTAATTTAATTTAACTTTAAAATTAGTGTATGCATGTAACCTAATTTGTCAGATATAAACATATAATAGTAGTAGTATATTAACTATTACTAAAAGAAAATGTTGCTGACGTCATTACTGCCCACATGTCACTTTCATAATAAAAATTTTCCCGCCTAAATGCAAAGATGATGTCATCATCTTTTTTTTTTTGGAGCTATCATATTTAATAATTTTGAAATTTGAATATTAGAAGTTTTTCATTACAACTACAACCTATCAATTTATCCTCAAAAAATGAAATAATTTTAAGTAGCACACTAATAAATAGACTCCTACATTCAAATATGTATTAGGTGACATTGAATAGGTATTATATCATAATTTTGATAAAAATCTAAAATTTTAAAAGTGCGATATATATATTTTTTTTAATCAAAAAGTACATATATTTTTTTTTGAAAGAAAAAATAATAATTTTTGTACAACATGCATAATTATTATTTATATTTATCCATTTTTTTAAAAAAATGTACAAATTATAAAAATAGATTATATATAAATCGTGCATCGCAGGTTTCTAACCTAGTGGAAAATATAAGGTTACCCTAATAAACAAATATAGCCACATTATGTGGCTATGGCTAACCACGCACAATACTTGCTGGAAATTTTTATTTATTTATTTTTTTTACTGAATGAGGATTTCATTAATAATTAATTTTCTTAACTTTAAAAGTTTTTTTTTAAAAGAATTAAATGAAATATATCGAGAATAAACCCATGCATAAACCTTTGAATAGGTTTATCTACTAGATTATTCTCAAGTCATGCTCGATTTTTAAATTATTGATAATTGAAATATAGAAGTTTCTAGAGAAATATAACACAATAGTCAATTATTATAATAGTCTTCAAAAAACACAAAAAAAAAATAAATAAATAAATAAAAAACCTCTGTTTTAGTATGGAGTAAAATAATAGATTGTTGGTACTCCGTCATAGATTTCTTGGATATGAGGTTTGTTCCATTGCTATTGCTCCAACACCCTTAGCATTGTAGAACTAAATTTGCATTTTGTTAATGAGTAAAAAAAATAAATTACAAAGCACCAAGCAAGCAATTCTTACTTCTAATTGCAATTCATATTTAAAAACATAGGCTACACAGTCACGCATTGCAATGAACAAACATATCCTGCAACTTCTACTCCCCAATTGAAAAATTGACGATCCTTTTGGCTTATTGTAATCTTTGTCAATATGCTGCTGTATGCCTCAAGCTTATTAAACAGTGTCAACATTCATTTCCCATCAGCTGAATATATGCGTCCTTAGTTTTTTTCCCGTCATCTGCATATATACACCCCCTATAGTTTAAGGGGAAAAAAGAAACTTCAGGGAACAGCTTCTATGGTATCAGTAATTATACATAACCAGATGTGTAATTCAGATAACGTAATTCTAACCCACTCAACAATATACTCCGTTTAAAACTTGTTAGGGGTGGATAATAACATCACTCAGAAAAGGCAACAAGTTATAATGTTTTTACACTGTGTTGAAGGCATACTTGGTAAACGCAGCATCTTGATAATCTCAAAGATAACACAGAAAGCTACAAACTAGCAAATGGATGAAGTGATTACTCCATAGTTTGATAAATAGCACAATTGAGTTACAAGGATAACCAATATAAGGTCAAAAGATTTAGGAAGGCATCATAACCTTATGTAGTTTTCCGAAGTTCTAAATCTCTAGTGCCTAAATCATCTGTCTACACGATAAAAGGATAAATTTTAAGTACATTCTATTTGCTAAAGGAGAAGACAAAAGGAGGACTTATTCAACTTCTAGAACTGCATAAAACCTGACTTCCTAAAAGAACAGTTGACAGAGTACAGTCAAGTACAAAAACATTTAAGAAAATTACATTTCTTCTATGACCATTACATGATATAGCAGTAATTTGATGCAAAAACATAAAAAGAGGAAATTGGGAGTGGATACAGTCCTAAGCATACTACTGAACCACAAAACATACTCATACATACCGCGACAACCAAAAGTAGTAGATTAGAGAAACAAAACCCAATCAATCATTGCAAAAACCTTTGCAAGATTCATACAATGGCACTGGTATATGTAGCCTGATATCTGTAAAGTGGGTTGGACTTAACTCAGTCTGCATACTGTATTTGTTTATTACGGCGTACGAAGGCCCACAACCTGTAAACAAAAACAAGCACTCATATTTAACAAAAACACATACACATCAACAAAAACACATAAATTGAGTCAAAAGCTTATGTCCAGCCAATCATTAGGCTCTAAGTCTTACTTGAAGAAATTGACATGATTAATGAGTGATACTCCAACTTCAATAATATATTCAACAAAACTTCCTACCGATTGTTTTACTAATTACTTGGTGCCTGTGGAATTTGGAAGGCTGTAAGTAACTATAGCCAAAGATTGATACTCCCTCTATACTTGTCATAAATGGCATGTACAATCAGTTTCTATTATTTCTCTAATTTTGGGTCTCCTATCCACTTACTATAATACTCCATCTGTTTGTTCTTTTTTTTTTTTTTTTACCCACTTTAACTTATATTCAAATATTCCACTTGGACCAACATTGCTGATTTGTAAATAAAAGGGTCACGGGCAAGCATGAAAAGTCAAAATGGGTAAATTAAAAAGACGTAGAGGTAGTAAGAAAATTATTCACTACCCTTCAACTATTAATTTATTTTTTCAAAAAAAAAAATTAAAAAAAAAAACTCACTGCCGAGAGTACCCACTAGCTATAACAATTAAGGATTAAAAAAAGAAAAAAAAGAAAAGAAAAAAAAAAACACTACGCACCATCACCCAATAAAATAAGCAGTCTGTTAAATTTATCTTAAATTTTATGTGAGTCAAGTTGTGTCTACTAAATAGGGACAAAAAGAGTAATAGAGAAAATTTGAATGGATATACCAATACTAGATGTATTAAAAACATATGTGTTTGAATAAGGCACTCAAGAAGTCAAGATAGTCAGAAAGGTACTGATAGAAAAGATACGACTGCCCAACTTGACATGAACAGCAGTCTTATAATTATAAGAAAGCCATTACACTAGTCAATCCATATGTTCTCTGTCCAGAATAGATGTATGCATCTAAAATTTCTTAAGAAAGAACAAAGTAGCTCTATATGTTTCTGTCCAGAATAGATTAATGCGTCTAAAATCTCTTAAGACAGAACAAACTTGCTGAGGGACAATAGTTACAGACATTGGCAGTTTGCTTGAGAAATTTTCACCATAACATTATTATGCGAAAATCAGAATCAATAATCATCATGGCAAAGTTTTCTAAAAATAAGTTTACTTATAAAGTTATAAGTACTCCCTCATCGTTTTCACCAATTCACCCCCAACAAATTAATGCTCAAATGAATAACATGGAGAGAGGAAAAACCAAGAATCATGAAGAGTGTCAGCATAGAAAACTACCAAAGGCATTAACAGCACTAATCCATAGGGATTTGAAATTGTTTCTCACCATATGAGAACAAAGTTCAAGCCAAATGCCCTGTCGACGCAAAAGGGTCACATCAGCTTGACTTGAAGTTTTGTACATGGAACTTTCAAAATGAAAGGGTTTACTATTCCATTCAATTTCCTTGAACTCCCAGACTACCAGAGCCATCATTCCAGTTCCAGCTTCACAGTGCATTTTGATAATATAATCAACCAGGGAAGCAAGTCTCATGTTTATGACTTCTTGATTAATGTTGTGTTTTAGACCTTAAGATGTTAGATGTCCCAAAATATATATATATATATATATATATATATATATAAAAGGGAAAAAAACAGCAATACATTTGGGGCCTATATGAGATTCTAGATAAGCAGATATCTGAGCATGTTACGAAAGAAATCGCATCTAATAAGCCCACAAACACCAAAAAATGAGACTAAACACATAACTTATACCAACTTAGCAAACAAAAACTAAGATATTATTTGTAAGAGAACTCATTGCCCTTATACATGACATAATCCTACCAAAGATAAAAAGAATGCACAAACTTCAGAAATGTATACTTACCCAACATCTAGAAGCAAGAGAACTTCAACGCTATCAAACAGTATCAGCTCTTTATGGAGTCGGTGGTATATCACTAGTGCTACGATAAACTTGATGTATGTCAGGTACAACATCTTTAAATGGTTCAATGTACTTCTCTATAAACTTAGGCTCATTCCAGGAAGCAATATTTAGAAGACAGTAATCCCTACTTAGCAAACCTTTCTCCTTCAGAAAAAGCAGCAATTTATGTCTAGGCAACAATCTTTTCTCAAGGCTATAAGCCATCAAGTTAGAACGCGATGCCAACAACGCAGGCTTATAACCGAGCTCTTTCATAAGAAATTCCAACTTCTTTTTTATCATTGTTTCAGATAATCCCAAGCAATAAGGATTTAGCCCAATTAATCTCAAAACATCAGAATGAGTCCATCCATAACTCTTAAATATATCACATTTACCCTTAACGCTCTCCTCCTTATAACAAGCCAAGTAAAGACCAGGCAAGAACGTAGGAGAATCACGAGGAATCCCAAACTTATCCTCAACCTTAATCAACATATCACGAAATATATCTGGCTTCCTGTACAAGACTTTTGGTTGCTGAAGCATGAAATTCACAGTTTTGTCATTAGAAATTCCATATTCTTGCAACAATTTAACATTGGGAATCAAATGATTATCAGCAGCATGAGTAAACGAAAGCCATTTCGACCGCCTCAAGACTTTAGCAACATTCTTATCACTACCCACAACATCCCTTATAGCATCTATTTGAGGACGCATTCTTCGGGTTAACATCAAAGGATTAGCCAATATAGCATTAACTAAATCAGACCCAGAAAATCCCAAATCCTGAAGAAGCTTGATTTTAGGTTTTAGGGATTTGTCAGCATTAGCACACAGGATTCTAGGTAAATAAGCAACGACCTTTTTAATTTGGGGTTGTTCGAATCCAATTTGTTTAAAGAAATCAACAACTGAAACAACATTTTTAGCGAAATCAAAATCACTGACCTTCTTGGCCTCTTGCTCTTCAAGAAATCGAGATAATTTGGTTGGAGAAAGGGGTTTTTTGCAGGGAAACCCTAGATAATCAACCAAAAGAATCTGCAATGATGGATGAGATTCCGATGCTGATGATGTTGAATACAGTAAATGGCGGCGGCAGCCATGGATGATGTATAGAGGTTGGAGTTGATGACTGAATTTGCGACCAAACTTGAGCATTGCTATGGCGGGAATTATCAATTATTATTGTTATTTCAAAGTCTGAAAAAATGGACTAGGAGATGTAACCAATTTGAATTACTAAACCATTTTTGAGTAACCCCGACTTTCTCTAGCCACTCTAGGTGTTTCGTTCTCCTTTTCTTTGTTTACAACTCGTTCACTTTTCCTTTTTAGTTCTTGATTTTTTTTCCTTTAGTTGGTTTGTGTTCTGGACAAAAATCATATTCATCTTCATGATGAACGAAAAATGTTTATCATGCTGGTATTATCGGCATTTTTATTCTTTTAATATGGACTTTATAGGCATTTCACACAAACGTGTTAAATGTTACACGTAGTCTATACACAGTCACGGCCCCCCACGCAACCATCTGTTGGCAGCTTAAGTAGTAACTCTTCACCGCGCAATCAGGCTTTCTCGGCGACGCGACGCAACAAGCCGGTGGTTTCTAATAAAGCCTCTCCTCAATTTAGATTGGTATGTACAACATTTGCATGTGTTTTTAAATGCGTGTATAAGAATTTTAGGTTTCCTGGGATTTGCTCTGATTTAGGGCAATAAATTGATTTGGCATTGTTTGGTTGTTTTGGTGAGAAGAAAATGAGTAAGCGCTTGCGGGATGTGAAGCAAATTAATTCAGACGAGGTATGGTATATGAATCTTTATTATATGGATTGTTGTGTTCCTCTGTAATTAGGTCTTATAACATTGTAAATTAATTTGTACCCAGGATGAATCTGGAATATGTTGTAAAAAGATAATTGACTTGCATCCTGATCTATTTAAGGTACAATTTACATATTGAATTGGATGGATTTAATGTTTTATAAGACATAAGATGCTTAATTGAAGGCGAAATTTGTAGGAAAATTGCTTGAGTCAAGGAGGTGTCGTGAAGGCAACAGACCAAGTTTTGAAAGAGCATTTTATATCGATTTGTCGGGTTAGTTTTTCTCTGTTTTACAACCAATTAAGCTAGTTATAACAAATCATATGCTTAATAAATGTTTAGTAGTCAATCACTAAGGTTGATGGTATCATTTGATAATTTGGAATATGCATATATGTAGTATTGGTTGTAATGTTGAAAATTTTCTTTTCAGCCACCAAACATAAGCTGTATAATTCAGTGTTTTGGCCGTATTTGTAAGAAATTCGATGAAAAAAAAACAAGGTGGGTGACAGAGTGGGGTTTGGGGGACTCTTACATTTTGTTTCAGATATGCAATTACCCAGGCAATTGGCGTATTAGATCATTGGCGTATTGGGCGAGTGTTTTCGTTTTCTAAGAATCAAGTTCGTTAGATATTAGGAATCCCTAATGGTCGTAAGATAGTGCCAAGTTCAAAAATGATGAATTCCTCAGTTCGTGGGAAAGTACAACAAGTGTTACTAAGATACGGTAGTTCATGGCTGAACAAAAGTAGTAGAGGTTGTGAGAGTGTTTATACATCCGTAGGCATTCAGGTCACTACACAAATGATGGAGAGATTAGAGGGTATATTTGGTGATGATGAGGAAGAAGAATTTAAAACGTTGTACACTTCATATGATACTGTGTCCTACCCAATCATCCCGACTCGCCTCAGATTTATTCCCGGCTCTAATTTGTGTGATGGATTGTGCTAATTATGACTGGTGTGACTTGGTTTTGAACAAAATGATGGAAAGTATAACTAGCTTTGCCCGACGGTTTTATGCTAATGGATTTGCTGGTGGATGCGATGGGTGTGCGATGTTTCATATTGTAAGTGAACATGTAATACCGAATATTATTGAATTTACATATAACATATATATAACAAAAGCTTAAACGGTTAGTTATGATGTTGTCCTTGATGCAGATATTTTACCTAGATCGTCTCGATAGGAATCCCGTTCAATGGGGTGTGTTTCCTAGGATCAAGGTGTGGACAATGCGGCAAATTAGAAAGGCAGCCAAGGAGGATCGCACACAATTAGGTGCTTTGGGAGGCTAGGGGTAAGGATGTTGTATTATACTGCAATTTGAAATCGTATTGCATGAGGATTATTTAGAATATGCGTATGGCAAGAACGTGGTTCATGATTGGATATAATTTGCCGTTTTGCAGTTGCTAGATGTTGCCTATGGTGAGCCTCATTGTAGGATTGCAAGGGACGTTGATGCACCCTTGGAAAACGTGGTGCTTAATGTGAGTATCATGTTTAAGTTTATTTTTTTTGTTTGCTTTGTGCACCATGGTTTGTAAAATGATTTGTGTTTGCTTTTGTGTGATTGATATATATATATATCCTCCTTCATTGTCTCTACCATAGAACATAAACGGAGGAAAGTCTGTAATGCTATTGTTATGCCCACTCGCAGTGCAAAGCGTGAAAAAAAGAAGTAACCTGGTGTTGATGTGAGATCCTTGTGAGGTCCATAATGTATACATGGATGTTTGGTTATTGTTTCAAAGTGTAATCGATTGTAGAATTATGAAACAGATTTGTTTATGTAACAGACAAAGTTGAGTTGTATTTAATTTGTAAACGGCAAAAGAGTTAATCACATACGATTGATTAAGTCTAGTATGCAGGGGTTGTGAGTGTCTTAACTTAGGCATCATTTTTTTGGTGGTGTCGCATATCCAATTTGTGAATTTCCATGGTTATTTGGCAATGATTATGGTGTGTCGTATCCTATGGATATGCATGTTGTTCTAAGTACCCTCGCAATCATTGTGACTGATATGTATATGCAATCCTTTTGGAGTAGTGTATAACACACTATAGTTCTTGAATATCAACACGAATGGGGTGGGGTGATGAACACCAACGTTTTTAAAAAAAAAATTGATAAAGATATTGTCCTAAAAATTGATAAAAATTGAACACGGTATAGTCCATAAAGGACAACAATCATTGTACTGGGCTTAAAGAACAAAAATGGATTAAGGAATAATCATTGGACGGGCTGGCACAGTTGGAACACAATGGACTAATTATTGATTTTTGAAAAAAAGGTCCAGATGTGGGCTGTTGTAGTATGCTTGGCCTTTCTCAGTCTCAGTCCATAAATTGAAGAGCAAATGTCCAGAACTGAAGTACAATGAGATCCGTTGGCAAAACGTTTTATTAGTCATAACTTCTATTACTCAAATCAATAAATTACTAAAATGATTAGCATTAATTTAGGGTTTCAATTTATTGATTAACATACCTCATTATTCCTGATTTAGTATATTAGTGTTAATTGAACATGGTGAATTTTATTATAATAACTTTGGAGTTAGGGGAAATTTAATGAATTCAACCTTGAACCTAGTTAAAATGTTGAGTAAATCGATTTCACTTAGGTACTAGATTAAATGTTTAGGAATTCGATTTAACCTATTGACAAATGTTTTGAAATTGATTATAACTAGTGCAATTGTTTTGGATATCAATTGAACTTATTATGATATCTTGAACATATTAACGTCTACGTGTGTATTATTGTAGCTTAGTTAAGTTTAAGATAAATGATTTGTTAAAATGCTTATATATTTTGGTAAGTATTATTGAAGATAATAGTTCATTATTGAACCCTTACCACACGTAGAGATATCCCAAATGTAATTACTTATTGAAGGACCGGGTGATCAAGCACACAATTGAACTTATGATTACTTGGTAATGAATGAAACTCCCTATAATTGATTTTACTCAACATATGATTGTCCTCCATGATGAATTATTAGTGAGACCCCTTATTAGTGTGAACATTCATATATCGATAATACGTTAACCTTATATAACGTTTATTGAATATTGGTGGTTCTCCCTTACATTTAGTTTATGATACCTTGCAATAAATTACTTACTTTTCTTCACTATGATGTTAACTTTGAACCCTATATAGGAGGTTCATCGAATAGAACTCACACTTTTTACGCTGTTACATTTACGTGTTAATTGTTTAATTGAAATTAGTGACCTTGTTTTAACTTAGGGAGACCTATTGAACGTCCTCCTTATCTATTAATTTTTAAACAAATCAAATCTTGTGTTATGAGTTAATAAGGGTCGTTACATATGAAACACAACTTCACTTGCTACGCGGTTTTTACGCCGTTATTAACACCTTTTTCTCTTACGCATGTACATTCTCCCAACCACACGACTTTTCTAACACCGTTAATTTAGCGTATTCGTGTGCATGCCCATATCCCCAACCACTTGTCATTAATGAACCCCTTCCTTGTCCACTACTATAAATATGTGTGAGATTTTCTCATTTTCTCATGTGCTTTAGAAAAGGAAAAAACCCTTTCTTCCTGGTTTCCCCTATTTATGCACTCCTTTCCCCCAAAATACCCCGTCGCGTTATTACAAAATGTCACACACCGACTCTATTGTTCTTTGATCCTCTAATAAGTATCATTTATAGCACATTTTAGGGCGTTTTTCTCCCTTATTTTTAGGTTTATTTTGGTTTTTCTTTGTTATTTCTATTCCTTTTAGTCTTGTTTTAGTTATCTTTGTCTTAGTTTATGGTTTTAGGCCTTAGTTGTGAATAATATGCTTTTTGCTCGGTTTCTAGCTTGATTTGCGTGTTTTTCTATGTGTTCTTTCACTCCTTTCTCTCTTGGTCTATTTTTATAGGTGCTTGACGCTTTTTTTGATGCTTATGACCCGAGAAAAGGTAAGAAATTTCAATAGAAGAAGCTTGAAGCTAAGAAAGAAGCTAAGAAGCTTGAGGCAAGAAAGCTTGAAGCTCGTAGAAGGCCTTAAACCGAGTCTTGTTCACTCTATCAGCCATAACTTTTGATCTACATATTGGATTGAGGCGATTAAAATTGCGTTGGAAACTAGACTTGAAGAGCTTACCAACGAAAGGTTGAACACCCCAAGAGGCCTTCTAGAACAAAAGATATGGTCATTTGAATCTTCAAGACACTGCTAGGCTGCGCAGCCGCCGTGGGCACTACTAATGGTGCCGCGGGCGCGGACCTTTGTTCTTCCCAGCTAGGGCAAATTTTTGGATATGCCTCAGAGAAGCTTTGTCGCGGGCGCGGCCATGCCCGCCGCGGGTGCGGGTTTCTGGGTCTTTTTCGAGCTTAATTTCCGGATTTCTTTCTTTCTCTTCTTGTAATATAAATAGAGGAATTCTTAGACTTCATTAAGACAATTTTTACATTTCCTCTCTCCTCTAATTAGGATTAGGGTTAGATTAGGATTTTCTCTCTCTAGTTTAGGAGTAGTTTTAGAGAGAGAAAGCTTAGATTTCAATGGAGATTTGAGAGCTTGAAGAAGCAATTTTGTGGATTCTCTTCTCATCTATTCAATGAGCTTTTCTAAGTTTCTCTCACCTTTAATTCTTTGTTTAATTCTTGTTTTTGCTTATTTCATTGTTGATTAGAGTAGTTAATTAGTTTACTTGTTTGATTCTTGCTTTAATTCTAGTTTTACCTTGTTTTCCATGTTTTCCTTCATTATGTTTGCTTAGATTTTGTTCTAGGGAAATGGATGAAGGTTATGTTGATGAATTGAGTGATCGGTTATGATTAGTATGTAATTGATTCTTGTGTTTGGATGATGCTTACATTAACTAGAATCTTTTTAGCTAATTGATTCTTGGTTCTTAATTGTGCTTTCAATCAATTGTTCGGAAGTGAGTTGATTGAGAGTCTAGATTCTTTCATACCTTTTCTAGGCTAGTTGTGCGGGAGTGAATTAGCTTAGTAGGATAATTAGCATGCTTAATTGCGCGGGAGTAAGTTAAGTGTGTTAATCGTTCCTAATTGAGATCATGATCATCTAATTGCGACTTGTTATTAAATTCATTAATGTAATTGGATTCCCCTTTCCCTAATATCTTGTTAATTGCTTTAAGTAGTGTTTTTAGATGTTTATCTCCCTATCTCACAACCTTCCTACTAGTCTAATTACCCCAAATTAATACACTTAGTCCTTGTGGTTCGACCCTAGCTTGCTACTATCTAGTGTGATCTTGATAGAGTTAGGTTAGGAATAGAAATTGTTGATTTAAACTAGGATAGTAGACACGACCTATTGTCCCCCGATCATCCTCCCACTGGCCTTGAACCTGAAATGGATTTCACCTAGTTTGAGTATTTATTCGTCGATGACGATGGTGAAATACTAGCCACTTTATCGCAAGAAACAATCTCATATACCCATTGTGAACGACATGTACCCAGTTAGGAAGGAATTTCAAGTCTATTTGAATTAGTGTTTAGGATCTTTACCACCCTCTAGTTTCAATCCTGAAAAAATTAAAGAAGCCTTGCATGTATTTGACCCTAAACCAGTTATAAACTTTGATAGCCCAGTATGGGAGTTAGATTATGTTTCAATCCAACTTTGTGTTGGGTCATACACAAACACATTTCAAATGTTTAAGGTACCCCCATTTCCACACATCCTCCACTTATGGGTTGGATTTGCGGAATTAGCTGAGTCAGTCCCTGGATATCATAAGGTTAATTTCACCCCCTTTAAGCTAGATCAAGCCAAGCATGTCACAACTGGCCATTTTGGAGTACTCTCTGCCAACTCTAGGGTTTGTGTTTGGAATGTTAGAGGCCTTGGTCGTCCTTCTCTTGTGGAAAATTTTACCACTATGTACTCCATTCATAAGCCTATAATAGTAGTTTTACTAGAAACCAAGCATGGGTATCAAACAATTAGTGAAGTTGTTGAACAAATTCATGGTAATTATAGCTTTGGTTTTTCACTACCCAGGGTAGGTTTAAGCAATTGGGTTGTTTATCTTTTGTTGAAGGACGATGTGGCGGCCAAACCTATGAATATGTACTCCTCTTTTGTTAAGGCTGGTGTTTATTTTAAGGTTAGCACAATTTTTTTTAAATTGTTACGTATTTTTTGATATAATTGTTTTTTATTTTTTTGGTCTAATTTGATAATTTGGTATCGTCATGAAGGGACATCCAAGATCTAGGCGAGTTTATTCGAATGAAGGATCCGATCTCGGGGTCTAGTTGGTCAATTTTCAAGCACAATTATTAGTATCGTGTTACTTGTTTAATGGACTTTCTAAAATTTATCTGTTAAGTATTTACATAAGTCGTTTTAATCGTATTAGATAAATGTTTAGTTGTTTAATAGATGTATCCGTGCTTGGAAAAACATAAATCAGTAATATATAATAATCTATCTTTAAGGCCCACTGTTAATAATAAAACCCATCTATTTTTATTTTACGCATGATATGCTTCAATTACAACTACAAGTGATAATACATATTATGTTACAAAACTTTTGTTAACCCATGATACCCATACATTGCTATTAAAGCATAGCCATATTTCATCTACTCCATTGTTTACTATAATTACATAAGTGCTTTAAAATCGCGAGAAATACACAGCAACCAATATCGTTGTAAATAACATTATTAATAAGTAGTTGTTACGCCTTGTTAACACTAAGTTTTCCCCAAATAAGGCTGCATTTGTTGCTGCACAATTTTCTACTTATGCCTTTAACAGCCTTATTTCCTCTTTGACCTCATTACAATTCGCAATCACCATCTCCAAATTTTCTTCTAAAACATCACCTCTATTCTTCGAGGTTACTTCCGATTCAGCTTCCCATTTGAAAAATCCACAATCCTTTGTGCGATCCTAAGTAAATTATACAAATATTAAACCAAAACGAAAACATCAAGTATATTTCTAATATTAGTTGGTACCTCAAAAGATGGACCGTTGAGAATACTTGCCAGAATGGGCACCCAAGGAAGCTACGGCTAGCATTGACGCCTTTCCTTACGATTGATATCTTTGCTGGGATGCCATGTTTACAAAGAACTTGTCTTTATGCTACTGCTCGAGGTATCGAATAGGGAGATCATTTTTTTTTCACCTAAAGGGTTTTTGGTAGTAACTTTCTTAGTCATGTGTTATAGCATCCACCACGCCTCGTTTTTATATAAATAGTTTATGAAATAATGCTCAATTGTATTTGA